TCTTTGTGATTAATATTATTTTCATTCTGTTGCTAGTCACCATTGTAGTGAACACATTATAAAAGCTAATTTACATAACTCCTAAAAATAAAACAGACCACATAAATAACAATTGAGTAGACATTCCTGCATTGCATCTAATAAAACATACAATAATTATCACAGGCGTAAATCTACAAAAGCCGAACCTGAAAAAACAAACCATGTACCACATTTGCTCTATTACCGGTAGTAGTGTATGCACTTTATATACATAAATGACAGAGTCTATCATCAATGTAATCTTTGGAATAATGTGCACTTATGTAGATATTATCCTAGTAAAAGATCTGACTGTGATACATCAAAAACTTTATATTTTATTTTTTCACTCAACTAGTTAAGAATAAAAAGGCCAGATTTTGCCATTCCTTCTGAGTATCAAAATAAGCAGGTTTTGTGATTTTATTATAAGACGGAAACTACAGAACTTACGCTGCATAAAATATAAATACAAACAGCTTTAAAAGAACTTACTCGACTAACTCGAAGAAGAGACCATGTCAGCGTCTTTGTATCAAGTTTATGCACTGTATTAGAAAAACACTCAGACTGAAATAAAAAAAAAAAAATATTTTAGGAGGATAATATATGGATCATTAAATAAATACTGCTCCAAACAATCATTTGATGATCATTATATTGGCACAGGAATTAGGAAAAATTATTCATAAATCATTCATAAATCATTTAAAAAAAGGGAAGTATGGTGTGTGCCATGCCTATATACATCTGGTTTCAATTTGACTACAATATCATGTTTCACCTATGGAGGCAAGTTGCATAGCAACGAACAAACAGAAATGCCTGATACAGTTCAGGTAGGAAAATAAATGTATTATTACAGAATTTTACCATCATACTGTATTGCAGCCTAGAGTGGCATGCTGTCTAGCTAACAATGCTAGTAATATCTCATTTAATACTAATTATATATTGATTAAAGTTAGTGTACCTCATCTTCATATCCTCCAAATATATACATGCAATTATCAATAACACAGGCTGAATGACCATCCCTGGCAGCTGGTATGTCTCCAATCACTTTGGGGCAACACCACATATTCTGACCTGAAAATATAATTATAATATCTTGAGGTAATCACCAGGCACTCACTCTCCTATTCCTACAGGCTGTGGATAATTGAAACATGTGCACAGCAAATTATATCTTTTTGTTTAGGCTGGGCGAAACGTGTTTTAATTATTGTGCGCATTTGAAAATGTTTGTTTATAGAGGAGAGGGGTGAATGTTTAAAGGGGAAATCAAGACAAACAACATAATACTTCCAGTAGAAAGAGTCCCACAAATGTATGAGAATACAATTTACAGTTTTTTTATATCACTCTTCATCAGTATTATCTCAAACCACTAATATTATATATATATTTAATAGATTTTTGGGCAAAGGATTGTGGTTAAAGTGTGACATAGCCAGAGAAATTTTGAAAATGATTTCAAGATGGCATAAAACCAATCATAAACCTCAATTTGGAGAAGACATAAACCAATCACAAACTCTAAATGCTAAGATAGCATCTAAATATAGATGCAACTACAATGCATGGATTACAAGAAATGATAAATTATCTGCGTTTCGTAGATTAGCAGAAATTTGCTATCTATTCAATTGTAAATTATTCACAGATGGGACCCCACTGTACTCTGATTGGTTACTGGAGATTTGATGATGCAAGGTATCAAACCACTTAGCTTGTTAATGATATTTCACAGTTTGGCACTCACAGTTTTCGTGCAGGTTGTACATCAATGGTTGTTTCATCAATGAAAGTGCATTTTTGTGTAATTTGTTTAAATAACTAAAGATGAGTTCAGATAAGATCTTACCTGTATCATAGCAAAACAGTTTATTACAGGCACCAACTGAATCATTTCTACCGCCCCATAAGTACACGATATCATCAATAGCAACGACAGTATGTCCATACCTCATGTATGGAATAAATTCTGAATTACTTGCATTACAGACCAATTCTGTCCACTTGTATGTTACTATGGAATCCAAAAAACAAACAAAGTCAATAACAAGTATACAGCAGTTTTACCTGTACTATTGTATGCTTCAGTTAACAGAGGGTAATGGTAAGTGTAAGTTGTTTTGTAACATCTGATGACCGTCTGAATAGTTTGTAACTTTTAATTAATTGCCGTATTTCAAGAAAAATGTATCTGACATGTATACATAGTGTACTAAAATACATGTCAAGTTCACTTGATGTCAAAGTGCAAGGGTCAGAGTTGACAAACAGAACAATATACTGTAAATGTCCTCAAAGGTCGGTGGTCGTCATATCGCACATGTGCAACATTTGTGTTGATAAACATTGATTTTCTCACAATCCAATATGCTCTTCTAATGGAAGTCAGGAGTATGGGTTTTGACTTAGGCATGACAGGCAGTAATTATTGCTAGCGAGTCTTTCTATAACTTCCAATCACCAAAAACATTACTTAATTAAAGCTAGGTAACCTCCCAGTTTGTATTTCTTGGCCTGCACAACAGTCAAAGTCACTAACTTTGTTCATATGAGTCCCATATCTTGTGCATGCATGGTGCAACGATTATCACTCTTTAATTTTGCATTTTTTTGCAAATTTCACGAGTTGGTGAAAATCATAAAAAGCAAAGAAATTTACACTTAGGTCCTACAACACAAAATCAGTGACGAAATTCTGTCCTCGTAAACATTAAATCTTTAAATCTCATAAAAATTCCTAGCAATGAAAATTAAATAGTTTACAGTATTGTACACTGACTGAACACAGACTTCAGTATATGTACTGTACATACAGTGAAATAGAGGTAACTTACTCATATCAAAGACATGTACATCTATCGGCCGTATCGTCTCATAGTCGTCTCCAGTACAATAACCACCGAATGTAAATACCTTTCTGTCTCCTATAGCAACAGCAGCATGATTAACCCGACGTGGGCCACCTTCTAAGTGTACTACCCAACGAAGCATGTTGAATGGTTACTTCTTGCCTGTATAGAAATGGAGATACCGTAAATCATTTAGATGAATGACTTTCAATGAGTCTGGTTAAGAGCAGTAGACACAACAATATGGACGCTGCTTATAAAATACTTTCAAGTACATGTATCAAAGTAAATATCCGCCATTTTACTCGTAATATACTTACGACACAAATTGTTGGATTCAGATTTCAAGCCAAAAATAAACAAGCAGCCTCTCGGCTGAGATAGCTCCGCTGTTAGCAATGCACATTTCAATTAAAGAACAAAAGATATCATTAGAAAATGAACAATATGCATAGTATCAATGCAATGGGACTTGCTGTTTTCAACAAGAATTCAAAAAGATCACTTTTCACCAAAGTGACAAAAATATTCATTAAAATTGGAGAATTGAAGATATCATCATTACAAATGTAATATCAAAGCAATTGGACTTGCGGTTTTTAACAAGAAGTTGAAAATATCACTTTTTACCCAAAATGCCAAAAAATATTCACCAAAATTAGAGAATTGAAGATAAGATCATGAAATGAACAAATCCGAGAGAGGTCTACCCAAGGTACATATACACCAAGTATCAAAGCATTCGGGCTTGTAGTTTTCAAGAAGAAGTCGAAAAAGTGAAACATTGACACGGACGACGGACGACAGACGACGATGGACAATCACTCATATTATAAGCTCTGCTCGACAAAATCGACAGCGGAGCTAAAAAATAATTAGTTTTGCTAATTATAATTAAATAAATAATTCAATTGATTAAAAACCAAAATGATTATTAAATGAACCACATATGATTTTGGGGTGTACTGTATATATGATAACAGAATTTGCATTTGCTAAAAAAAAAATAAACTGAATTTTCAAAGAGAGCTTGCAAGCTGAAGACTTAAAGCGATGATTTGGTGCATATTTGTACCAATAATTACCGTAAGGGTTGCTCCAACCCACATTTGCATTGCTGAAAAACATATACATTTCTACAACATTCACGACTAAATTCATTGAAAAGACGGAGAATTGAAAATATTCATGATGAAGCAATTAGTGCAAGTACAATAACAATTTGAGAGGGATTATAACCCCGGACTTTCTATTCAAATTGTTTTTATTTTACATGCACAATAACAATAACACACTTAACATAAAACGTCTTTTGTTTATATTATTATGAATAGCAACAGAAATATTTAAGAGATCCAAGTAATAGGGTTAACTTGTTGAAAAAGGATTAATCACATTTGATCACAGACAAAGTAGAAGACTTTTAATCCTAATTACCATATTTGCTTTGGTTAGCACAATTCTAATAGATTGCAACATATGTCAGCCATAACATTCTTTTTATGTGGATTCTAATCAAGTCCACCAAACTCACATTGAACCATTTATGCTGATAACAGCTAAAATACTGGAGTAAATAGGATAAAGGCAACATTAGTTGCATTCACGCACGTTTGCTTAGCATGGGCTAAGGAATACTAAGTACGGGTTAAATCTGATTCGAACGGGCTAACGAAGTGTGCACGAATGCTTAGCCCAGGGCTAAGCGCCCTCTGTGGCGACCTTTGGGTGTGAACATTATGCACGTGATCAAATATATCCAACTTTCTCATTCCCAAAATGGCAACCGAGCTCACGCTCAGTGTACACACTTCCACACTGATCAGGTTGCTGTAGTAGAGTGTACAGCAGCTCCAATCGTAGACAAAATAAATTTGGTTCGCTGTCTACGACATCCATTAATAATAAAACTGTTACGCCATTGTATACTGTTTCTGTGCATGCAAATAAGTTGTCTGTCTTCTCTCGCGTTCCTGTGCACGTCGTTTCAAAATTAGAACGAAACATGTCAGCAGCAGAAATAGAACCTTGTGCATGTCATTCATTTTTCGTTCGTAAATAGCGGCTTGCCAAAGGTCACCGACTGATGGCGCCCCTTAGCCCGTGCTAACGACTGGCCCTCCCTGTGCGTGGATGCAATTGGGTCTAGCCAAAATGCAAATATGCTAGATAAGCCTAAATCAGCTTGTACTTCGTGTAATGTGAACACAACTAATAACTCAAGAGGTATTTTTGGAATAGCAGCTGTGTTTATTGGTACATGCAACAATTTTCAGGTAACATAAATCTTTTTTTACTAAAATAGGGTTTGACAAAATTTGATGAAATCCATGTTTTTGTGTAAATTGGCCACAACTGAGGGAAAGACAGAGAGACTTCCCTGCATATGAATATAATGTGAGAGAGAAAGCTTACCCACATACTTTTCTCAAAAAGACCATTACTAAACAAACATTTGCAAAGCAAAGTTGTTGATTTTAAATTAACCAAAAAATAGTGCCTTGTTCTTTTTATTCAAAAAAGCAAACTTAATTTTAGGTACTACCATAATATGCCACTAAATTTGCTTTATTATTAGTGCATACACATAACAAATCCATTACACAAATAATGTACCTATAATAGAGAAAACACAGTTTTTACTTGACAAAAAAATGAACATGCAGAAGAGATATAGTGAACAAGTGCATGTACAGCTACCGGTATATAAGTCGAACACTTCAGGATTCACACATATAAAATGACAATACCAGCATTGTATCCTTGGTCTCCATGACCCAGTTTTCACAATAAATAGCAATTTTTACAGCTGTGCTCAGAATATTTACTTTAACATTTAATCCTTGTAGAGCTGAAAACCGTTTGTAACAAATATCTCTGAATACTGCCAATGTTTCAACAGTTCAAGAATTTCATACACAGTTATGTAAATAATATTGAACAGTTGTCACCAGAATTACTAAGAATCCAAGTAACCAGAGTATTTAAAGATTATGTTGGCCATCTCCATATTTATTCACCATTGTTCCTATTAGATATACATTTTCTTTGTTCACAAGTCTTGTTAAATGCATTTGTCTTTAATATACACTGTAAATCTTTCAATTTTTATTGCTAGGAATGGTATCCATTTAATGATTTAGTGCTTTTCATGGGAGACAAAATTTCGCAAAAGTCGATCTGACTCCATGCCTTTTAGGACCCCAGTGAAATTTACACTACTACAAATTTGGTGATTTATAGTGACTCACAAATGTTTGTGTTTTCTCACGAAAATAATAAAAAAATATGCACAAAAACTAAGACAAAAAAACAGATAAAAATGAACACAATAGAAAAATAATAATGGGTTATTTTCACAGAGATCTTATAAGCTTATGGAAACCTTTCATTTGTGTTTGTCTCATAATTTCTCATTAGGGTTGTTGCATGCCTTTATCTAAGTTTCCACCTTTGATATTACACTCAAAATAACTATGATAATAGCATGATAATAGCATGATTATCAACTGACACATATATATGATGACTTACTCAATGACAACTAGAGTAATGGGGCAGAGTAGACCCAGATTTGCATAGTTAACCAGTTACCTCAGTGTATAGTAAATAAGGGGCTATAGTTCTGGATGGAGATCAAATTAATTAATAAAAGCATCAGTTATATATATCATGGAAGGTATCTTCCATGTTTATATTCAAGTATACTTCCGAAATCAAAGATATGTTCATATTTCAAAAAGTAAAAATATATTTGAATGTTATTAGAGCATTTAGTTCCTTAAAAGTACTGTTGAATGCAAGACAACTTGACATGGAGTGACGCAATCTGACACAGTTTGGCTGGTACTTAATGATAACGGCATTTTGAGGCGTTTTTACGATTTATAAGCAATATTCCGACACAAAACAAATATCTAAGTTGTAAGCAATTGTTTTGTTTTTTTAATATTTTGTCTGCAGGATCGAGAATGCTGGAACCTATCGGCCATACTTCAGGCCCCTGTGACCCGACATCATTTTACTGATAATCAATATCATGTCGAGTCCATGCAATATAAAAGTTATATCATCTAACGCACAGGGGGTCACAGTATAATGTGATCGATTACGTTTATATGGAATTCCCATGAAATATACGCCTGAATATTTAATATTTTACATAAATTGTTTTCAGTTGGAGACGGAGTCCAGTCATTCTAGTTATGCCGTGACATGATAAATAATGTCCACAGTTTGACATTATGAAATCGCCAGCGAAGAAATTTACCTTTGTCGGAGAGCAAAACATGCTATACGAATTGTCGAAGGTTCACCATCTACCCGATTCCAGGAAGGAAACAAGTGCCATTAATACGAACGTGGCGCAGAATGCAATGGACTCAAAACATTGATTTCGGCAGGTTTTTGATGACTCTCTGCAACTGACTTCGCCCATCAACAGCTGGACCACAACAAAGTATGACGTCATGTGAGCAGCGCCATCTATGGCCTTACTGCCTTACTGTCTTCGCACATGCGACATACTTCACTGTTGCTGGTAACCGTGATGAAAATAAAACCAACTGTTAATATCAACTAGAAGCTCAGGGTACTAAGCATACTCATTGTCGGAAAATGATTAACAAACATCTGCCGAGCGTCACAAACCCTATGATATTATGGACAATATTATGGACAGACAGGAAGGGATTTTAATTATCCGTGTATATATATATATATATAAACGTTTGAAATCGAAAAGAACAAAAATGATTACATAACACAATAAAACATACACAAACAAAAATACAGAACTCAAGTAACAACATCCGCAGTCATATTAAACAATAGAATTGAGAGACAAACAATAAATCTTTTTTAAATGTTTAATTTACTGCTATGAAGTTATATGCGAAGTTTTACAATTTGATCATGTAAGGCAAGTTTATTTTTTACATTCCCTGTATATTCTTTTTACCTTCCGGTTAATTCTAATATTTTCATTAAAATACTCTTTTTCCACTCCAAATTGTATATGTTATATAGTTATTTCATAGCTCTGTCCGACAAATGCTCCACAAATCATACATTCCCGATTTTTTAAGTTTGTTTTTGATTAAAAAAAAAATAGGCGCGGGTCACGTTGTAGTTCATTTCACACCTAATGAGTTCACACTATGACCACGACGTGCAGCGTATTGACACCAGGTTTTTACATTTTTTGTGTAGAAAACGTTTGAGGAAATTTACATATACATACACATAACTTAGTCTTTATGCGTTGGTTTAAATGTTACTGCTGTAATGCATAATAACATAAATATCATTAGGACATTTGTATGAATTAAAAGTTTGCGAGACACGGAGGATCGTCTCCCACTGTTACATAGATTCGCCTTAAGTGGGCGTGACCACATGACGGCACCAGTGAGATTCGAAAGCCAACCGAGTCAAAACCAAAGCACTCAGCCAATTCGCTAGCGAGTTTGCAAATTGGCTGCCCCAATACTTCTGAGACTTGCTGTAAATGCGAAAACATTCATGTCTCGACAGACACAAACGCAAACAACACACCCATGTTTATAATACTGTGTGGGTTAAAACAACTTCTTGATTTTTATCTGAAAATTTACCTATTCTCATCCGGGATTTTTCCCGCCATGCAACCAAAACCGCTCAAAACAATGGCAGACAAATCATAACTTAGTAACGTAGCAGTTGAATCTATTGTTAGTGCGTACATTCGTTTAAACAGAATGACCGCCAGTTTGACATTTTTGATATGATGGGAACAAAACACAGTCACTTGGGGGCTGAAAATCAATAAATACTAATTTTCAAAAAAAATCATCCGCTATACGTATATAAATAAACAAGTTGTGAAACACGGCACCTAGTAAATCGACACCCTGTC